TCACTTTCCAGTTCATCTCTGTTGTCCTAGATTGTTCACATTCTCCTGCCTTCTCCAAACTCTTCACCCTTTTGTGAATAACAGTGAACGTTTCTAGTGGTAGCAATAAACATAAACATTTTAGTAGATTTGGTAAGAACAAGAACCTCCATCAGATTTCAATTTCTCTCTGCGTCCCCAATGAGGAGAGTCTCATCACTTCCTTTCCTGGTAACTATGTAATATATTAGGTCTTGACAGTACAGATAGTACAATTATAATTACAACTGATCTTAATAGTAAAGTTTTAACATGCTTTTAAATAAGTAGAACTGTATTGCTTGATCTCTGGACCAGGGAGATGTCACTCCGTCGTGGTTTCCTCACTAGTGTTCAATAGTCTGCAGTGGCAGGAATGATGCCAATTAGGTAAACCGGAGTTGGACTTTGGTCATTCTGCTTTTAATGATGTGTTCCCAGTGTGAGATCAGCCTAATACCTTCTGACCCCCAAGGTCAGCTGTCTTGTGCTGCCACCATCCTATTCCATTTGAAAGATCATACAGGTGAAACTCGAATAATTAGAATATCGTGCAAAGTTCATTTATTTCACTAATGCAACTTAAAAGGTGAAACTAATATATGAGATAGACTCATTACATGCAAAGCAAGATAATTCAAGCCGTGATTTGTCATAATTGTGATGATTATGGCTTACAGCTCATGAAAACCCCAAGAACCCCAAATCCACAACCTCAAAAAAGTAGATTATTACATGCAATTAATAAAACAAGGATTGTACATAGAACAATATCGGACCTCTGAAAAGTGCAAGCATGCATATGTACTCAGTACTTGCTTTGGGCCCCTTTTGCAGCACTTACTGCAATTACTTTTGCACGATATTCTAATTATTCGAGTTTCACCTGTACATCATAGCCATCCAAGAGACTCGGGGAAGAGAGCCTGAAAAGAAACAATCTGCCCACTAGTTGACGTTATTTCCAGAAGCAGTGATTAGAAGAGTAAAGTAATAGTCCTCTTATTCTGCTAGCACTTCCCTTCCAAGTCTGCAGGGACAAAGTGGATGAACTATAAGTACACATTGCACTATTCCAACAACAAAATGCATAAAGTGTGTATATTGCCCTGCTAGCAAGATTGCAGGGTGGAGCCTTTATTTATAGGCAGGAAAATCCTGATAGGGTCTAACATAATGGCTGTGTGCTATTGGCGCTGCCCTAAGTAACAGCATACGGTATGCTATCTATGTAAAAACCCTACCCTCTGCCCAAAGAACAGTCACTTTCAAACTGCATTTTTCACCATAAGGGAATGTCAGTTTCTCACTTCATGCCTTATGCTTCCCTGATGCCTACTGATTCTTGTAAACTAAAAAACAAGGCTGGGTAAGCCCATAAAATGTAGTGCCCTGACTTACATGGACACCTTCTGTGGAGATCTTTACTATGGAACACTGTCACGCACTCTTGCATACCTCCTAATTTTCTGAGATGAGAAAGAGGTACACCTTCTAGAACAATGTATTTAGACAATAGACACACCCCTGCCATGCCAACAGTTATGTGAACCATATAATTACTCTTTCTTTATATTGGCTTTTTAAAATGGCAAACGAGATAATTAGGGACAACTAAGGAGGAAAGAGGGACAGAGGAATTTGTTCTAAATCAGGTACAGCTGGGTGGTATGCTCTTATTGATAACACTGGTTGTCATACCTCCCAAAATTCTGAGAATGGAAAGAGGGAATACCTTTTAACTCAAGTATGTAGGTGAAGGACACTCCCCTGCCATGTCCCCAAGTGGACCATGAAGAATTAATATGAAAAACTGATTGGCTTAACCCTCAAGGACTTTTTTTCCACCAATACTTTTCCTTTATACTGGCTTTTGAAAATAATAAATACAATCATTTAGAGGTTGGATGAAAAATGTAGTGCCGTGTAACAGTTATGATAGGTAAATAGTGCATTTTGTTATACTTGCCTGCTCCATGCTGCTAAACTTCACTCTGTTTCAGAGCTAAGCTTGCTTCAGCCTTCAGCATACAGCACTTCTGATGTATATTTGGTCCCCTCTGCACTGTTGTTCTATCCATTGGAATGGACCCTACAACAGTAGTGACATAGGGGCCAGTAGATGGAACCATAGTGGGCAGTGGGGGACAGCGCATCTGACACTGCCATAAGTCTGTCAGTTGCAGAAGCCACCATAGGTCTTCAACAAAGCAAAGATCATCCATTTTTGTACAGGCCAGGGTTTAAATAAAACATTTTTTGTCTAGTGACAGAGTTGCTTAAAGTGACACTAAACTAAGGAGTTAAATCTTAAAAAATGCATTTAAGTACTTTAACCAATAACAAAAATGCATCTTAATTGTGCATCACTCAGCTATAGATCCTCCAATCATCTCTGAATTGGTGCGGACACTGTCCTTCCTTCTGGAGGGGGGCTACTCTTGCTCCCATGGTCCCTGTGTGTGTTGTAAAGTAGCCACCACTCCAAGCTCACTCCTGTGATGGACTACAATCTCAATACCAATTAGCTAACTAAATGTGAGACTGTAGTCCAGCACAAGAGCGAGCTTGGAGTGGTGACTACTTTACAACACACACAGGGATCATGGGGAACAAAAGTATCCCCCCTCCAGAAGGAAGGACAGTGTCAGCACCAATTTAGAGATGATTTGAGGATTTGTGTGATACCCAAATATGATACAAATCTTAACCCCTGCAGTGGGGCTATCCCTCACTTCAAGGGTTAAGTGCTATTTTTTTCCAGGGAGCTAAAATAACAAAGTTATACTCACCCAAACCACGATCCCGGCTTGCTCTTAGACCGTTCCCTTCAGCCTCACTCCCCCTCTGATCCAGCTATCTAAGGTCCCTGAGTCATCACATTCTATACACGGTGTATAGAATGTGAGGACGCTGAGGGACATACCATCACTGGAGCAAATGAGGATACAGGCTGGAAGGAGAACTGTAGGAGCCAGCCAGGATCGTGGTTCGGGGTAAATATAACATTGTTTTTTGAGCTCCCTAGACAAAACAAGCACTTAACCCTTGCAGTACGGGCGTAGCCCCACTATAAGGGTTGAGATTCGATGTGCCTAAAGTTCTGCTTTAAGGAATCCAGATCAACAAATACACATTGCCCAAGCTCTTAATGTCACCATGTTCCCAAACAGCTGGCTCCAACTCTCTCAGCTTCCTTCAACTTCCTGTTGAGTACAAGATCACGAGGGACATGGCAGCCTCCAGCAGCTGTCCCACTGCTAGCTTGGAGAAGGAAGGAGGAAGAAGGGGTGGCGAGTGAAGAGGAGCAAAGGGGTGGGAAGAGGATTGCCTTGTTGTGTCTGTGTGTCTGTAATGACACACACAGCTTAAAAGCAAACACAAGGGTGGCTCCAGAGGACCCTGCAAGGGAAATGAGCCACCCTAAAACAAGATATCAGGGCCAGTGCTCAGGGGACCAGCTGATTCTGCGGGAAACTAAAGCTTTTAGACATCAAGGAGCAGCATCAGCATTTGAAATAGTTGAAAAACCTTTTACCTTTAATATTACTTATGCTCCCTAAATCTAGATACTTACAGTATAATTTCTGCAACAACATATCCTCCACTGGATACTTACAGTTCCTGCACTGATATCGTACAGCAGGGGTGGGCAACTGTGGCCCTCCAGCTGTGCTTTAACTATAAATCCCAACATGCCTCTGCCCCTGGGAGTCATACCTGTAACTGTCACTCTTGCACTGCCTCATGGGACTTGTAGTTCAACAACAGCTGAAAGGCCAGAGTTGCCCACCCCTATCCTACAGCATTGATATCGTGGCAACAAAAAAAATTGTCTCCCCACATTTTTGTTCTGGGCAGCAAGGACACTTCCAGCAAAGCTGAATGGTTTTCCTATTCAATGCTTCAAAGAGAGTCAGAGATTCCCAGCCCATTGTTTTCTGAAGCTTCTCACACAGGTTTCACAGGTATGTGAAATATATCTATGTAGTGACCCAAAATCATCCCCCTTCGCACACAGAGCACCGCTCACATAAGCCTGTACGAAAGACATGACATTCCATGTTCACATGCAGGTTCCATCTATACATCTCTTATCTTTTCATACTGCTGGGGAAAAGAAAAAAGATTTTCTTGGAAAAGAAGATTACAGCATTAGATCCAGAGCTATATACAGCCCTTAAATTCCGTACATCTGTCTATACACGCAAGCAGCTGTTAATACCATGGTACAGGAACTCAAGACAAAGTCGGAATTCAGATGACCAGCACAAAGCAATTTAATATTTGAAATATAGCTTTGCTTCGAAGCTCTGCAGGCTCCCTACTGACACTGCATTATGGGCTGTGGTTAGAGAGCTTGCAATCAAATGTTGGGTAAAAAAAAAAAAGTGAGAAAAAGATTCATCGGTCTCCATGGTAATTGCAGAGCCTTCCATACACAGATAATTAGTTGTTAATATGATACACCACTCAATTGTATTTAAAGCTCAGTTTGCTCCTTCTCCTCTCACCTTAAGCTTCTCCAGCACATAGTTCGACATAAGCTTGCTATGAGGATATACCATGTCTCTAAAGTGCTCCCAACCTTTGACCCCTGGACAAGGCAGCCGTAAGTACCAATTGCATTGACCTACAAGGCTTCTTTGTATTATCTGCAAACACAGTCCCATGCATAGAGATGTTTGTCATGTCAACCTAAAGCAAGGGTCATGTTGAGACTAGAAGCTTGAGAGGTTGTCATGCCAAAATCTATTTTTCTTTAGGTACTTTGCCCACCTGGCTGCAAAGTGCCCATGTTAATAATCAAAGAATGGAGGCTTTCAACCTTTCTATCTAAAGACAAATGTTGAGCAGTCCTCCTCCCAGTGCTTTGTGGCACAGGAGTGCTAGCTGACAGGAGACAGGGCAAAGTAGTGACGAATCCTTAGTGGCTGACTGATTCAATGGGATACATTTCAAACTAGCTTCCCATAGAAACAGACACACTTGCACACGAGATGCTCCACTTGCTGAGAAAAGCAGAGCGAGAGGCAGCGCAAAGCGAAACACAATGATGGGAGCATTTGCATCCTAACACCAAGCTGTTCAGCAGCCTTCCCCTCTACACCAGACAATGGATTTAGGCATCCTTCCACAGAAGCACAGTAGGTAGTCTTTATTTCAATGACTTTCACTGTTTTTTTTTTTTCAACCTCTGGTCCTTCAATAATGTCTCTCTACTACCTGTCTTGTCTGCTCTCTTACCTGCAGCCAAATCCAGCTACCTCTTCCTGTATGGCACCAACCTCTTGCTTCAGCAGGGATATCATTGTCATATTTTTGCCTTGTTAGCTGTCAAAGTCACAAAGTAAGCTGATTTGGGGACTTTTTTCTTAGTTATGACAATAACTTGGGGGGTAAAAAGTCACACAAGAAGCTTTTCCTTTCTTTGGAAGGACTTCATTGTCATCATATCTTCATTGGTCTGGTTAGTTTTAGTCTTTTGGGCTCATTTCTTGTGCTGGTTGGGAATCTTTGGTGCTTTAGATTTCTGAAAATGATTGTGCTAGAAGTAAGACCCTTGCTATACAAAGGGACCACCTAAGAGGTAGACTTTTTCCATTCATATCGTTGTTCTATAGACCGGTTGACTCGATCCTATTAAGTTAACTTTATTGACCGGTGTCTTTTATACTTTATTATCTATTGTTTAAAATAAAATTGACCTGCTTTCTCAATGAAAACAAATAGGAGAGCATTTTAGTATGTAACTACGGCAACGTGATACAGACGGGTCCAGGAAATGCCTGAGCATCCATCCCTAGCTTGATGCTCACTCTTTGTCAGTGTCAATCGGAGGACACGGTGCTAAGTCTCTAGTCCCCAGCCTGACACAGCGGGGAGGCTGATTGCTTGTGACACAGTTAAGCTCTGTGGATCTATGGGTAAATGGTGCCAGCATCCAACCGGTGGCTTTTAATGACTGCATTTAATGCCTCCCCTGCACTGCAGGCATCTATAGCAACTAACGAGTTAAAATGCCTTTGCTTGGGTATGCAGCAGTAGCAGCACACAAAATTGTTCCCTCGTGGGTACAGCAAGCAGCGGTATTCATACAAGTTCTCCAAGACGGAGATGGTTACAGACAGCGCAGGAGAGTTAATGTTTATGAGTGGCAAGCAGGAAGGGGGATTTTAACAGGAGTATAGTCTTGGCTGCCACTCACAAATATGTAAATCTTTCCCCTTTTTTTTTTTTTGCATCTGGTTTTGCATTGTGATTTATTACTGGTATTATACTGTTTTTTTTATGTCAAATGCCTTAATTTGGAAATTCCCAAGCCATCCCTACAACAAAAATTGGGTAACTAATTTACCTAGCAATCTGTATGCACCTGTTAGCAGCCAGACATTCGGACTTGAGTGCCCATTCACTTTATTCTAATATTTTTAATAGGCATTTTCCAGCATGATGGATGATTTCTGTTTACAGGGTTAAATAATTTTGTTGCTGCACTTGCCATTGCTCAAAGACAGGTGGGCTGCCCAAAGAGTTTAGAGGGCTGTTGGACAATCCAACTGCCTTCAGGGCATAAAATGCTCTAAGTGCAGAGAGTATTATAAATGTACAAGGGTGGTTCTGTAGACCTGGCAGGTTTATGGTAATGAGGAGGGCAGGGGGAGAATCTTTCACCTCTCCAATGACCATTGACTGTAGAGCATCTGCATGCCACCATTAACATCAGGTTGTTAAGGGGGCAGTTGGACAATCCAACTGCCACTGCCTTCAGGACAGAAAGTCCTCAGAGTGCAGAGAGCATTATGAACATGCAAGGGTGGCTCTGTAGACCTGGCAGGTTTATGGTAATGAGGAGGGCAGGGGGAGAATCTATCACCTGTCCAATGGCTGTTGACTGGAGGGCGTATGCATGCCACCAAAAACATTACATCTTTACACAATCCATGCAAAAACTGCTTGATCAGATCCCATGACTAAGAGCTAATTGACCAAAGAGTTAAGGGGGCAGTTGGACATTCCAACTGCCTTCAGGGCAGAAAAGCCTCTGAGTGCAGGTAGCATTATAAGCATGCAAGGGTGGCTCTGTAGACCTGGCATGTTTATGGTAATGGAGAGGGCAGGGGAGAATCTTTCACCTCTCCAATGGCCGTTGAATAGAGGGCATCTGCATGTCATCATAACCATCAGATTGTCGCCTAATCTATGCAAAAACTACTGGATTAGATCTCATGACTGAGAGCTAATTGACTTAAATACTACTAGTAAATGCAAGCAATGATTAGACCATATTACTTGTGAAAACTGCACATGCATTATATGCTGATTGAAAGAACAAAGATGCTTTGCAAAATTCGATCACTCATATCAACCTCATATCAACCTGCTGTAGTAAGATTAGCGAAAGGCAGATTCTGATCACCTGCTCTGTGTTACTGCGCTTTGTGCATTTTTGTTGCCCTTGGCAATGCTCTATGTGATGAACACAATGGGATTGCACAGGTATCATTGACATTCTTACGTTCAATCGACACAAACATCTGTTTCACACACTTGTTTGGGAAGAAGATCAAGGATAAGCTACAGAATATATTATTGTAATTTGCTGCTTCAGGCACAGATGCACCTTTTAAGTCCAAGGTTATTGCCCAGGGGTGGTAATGATTCACATCAGAGACCAGAGTCTGAATAAAAAGGTTTTTCTATGGCTTTTAATATACAGTTATATTTTAAAGCTGTACATAATTCAAAGGCTGGCCTTGTCTGGAGAGGATATTGTTGTTGTTATAAAGTGAAAGGAGCACAAATGTATTGCCTAGATGATGAGCTAGAATTGGGACTCTGCATACAATACATTAATGCTCTTTTAAAGTAAGGTGGCTTTAAATTTCAGGCTTGACACTTGCACATGCTCCAGAGGTTTCATAGTGTTAGATGCGTGTATTCAGGAACAAACCTGCAGACATAGATGGACTGTAGTACCTCTCTTCAGCCAGCATGTGTCACTGTAGCTCTTATAATGTAATGACTGCACCCACTATCATATTACTCCCTAGTAGATACAGGGACCCTAGTGGACTAGCTTCCTTACTTGCTATACTTGTGGGTAAATAACAATTTTGCAACATTAAGTGTAAACTAGTGTGCTTTTTTGTGAAAAATTATTTGTATTAATGCAAATGTTGGTTATGTCCACTGAAACTCACATTTGTAGTTGCTGCTCCATATATTCTGTTAGACAGGTGGTAAAAACAACTTTGATAAAGTGCTGAGCTAAAACTAATTAAATGAGTAGGCAGCCTTTAGGAGCAAGATGACAGTAACTTGATGTGGCTATTTCTGGTTGGATCGGGTATGACCTTATGTCTGTGGAAGCAGACAAATACCTGCTAGCAAAGAGTTCTTAAGGGCAAATGCCAGTTGAGAGGTATAGGAAACCTGTTCCCTTACACTGTGGTCTTCCATTCGTTTCGTTAGTTCGTTGGAGCAAAGTGACATTAGAGAAGGAGAAAAATATTTTTTCCCCCTCAAATGTCACTTTTGCTGCAAACAAACTAACGAAACGAATAAGAACAGAAAACGAAACGAACGTTCGTACTAACGCTACCGAATTTCGTCCGAATCCGAATTCCGAATCCGAATTGACTTTCACACCCGAATCCTGAAAAACGAAATAACACAAATCCGAATTTAAAACGAAACGAAACTAAACACATTTTTTGGCAGTGCACATGTCTATTATACAGTGTATAACAGTTAACACCTCTGTAAAAGTCTCTTTTTCAGTGAGGTATTAGACCTACATAGGGTGTGATAGCACAAAGCTATTAGTTGGCAGCACAGGATCAGCATCCCCAGCCGCTAGCTCAGACAGGTAATTAGCCAAGCGACGGCAGGTGCAGGAAGAACAGCAGAGTCAAACAAAAGCGCCAGCTTTGCCCAAGAGGCGAGACAGTTCTTTGCAATAAATCCAGCAAAGGGGTTAGGGAAAGCATAGAGAGAGAGAGCAACTTCACAAACATCACTTCCTCGCAGCTTGGCAAACACAAGCAGCACTCTTCAGGTTTAGCAGAAAGACTGGTACTTTCTTTGGCATCAGGGAACACAAGAGGTTGTCGTGCATTTCATATTAGCTATGATGTTATCAGTAGACAAACCTGTAATGTAATAAAACAACAGTTCTATCATTCTGTAAAAGTCTGGGAAACTGTGTGACTGCATCTACTTATTTAAATCTGAAATCCACGCAAATATAAAGCATAAGGAATTGTTTTACCTGATAAAATATTTGTATATGTGTGCAATCGGCCTTGTGATCTATACACTCCTGTCAGACAGCACAGCATAGCCCTAGTTATATCGACAGCACTATGCAATGCTATAGAGCAGAGGTAGGCATAAGGCATTGCAAGACTCTAATAGCCACGGGCATGACTCCCAGTGGCATATGCAAGATGGGATTTGCAGTTTCATCACATCTGGAGGACCAAAGTCTGGCTACACCTGCTATAGAACCTTCTGATCCCCAGTGGCGCCCTCCCTCTCCCAGCCCTGCTTTATGCTAAGACATACTTAATTACCTAAATTAGCTGTGTTCAGTTATATATTCATTTTTACAACTGAACTAGATGGTTTGACATTTATTTTGAGTTCAGCTTAGTTAGATGCAGTAATCCAGAGTAAACAATTAGGATTTATCTGTCATTTAGTAGGCCGCCTTTGCCTGATGAAAGCTAAAATCTTTTTTTTTATGGGTTGAACTCAATAGACTTGTGTGTCTTTTCAGCCTATGTTACTCTGTAACTTTCAGGTTTATTTGGTATTGCAATACAAAGAGCAAAGGTGATGTTCAAAACACAGCACCCAAAGCATTACAACATAAGATGCATTATTTTTATACACATTTACTCTGTACCCATCAGTTTTGGCCATTTTAGGCAGACATTCAGCACTAAATGAATATCATATTTACTTCCTTTGCTGATGTTTTGTAAACCAACTTTTTCCACTTTTTTTAGAAATGTGCTCCTAGGGCTGAAAGCGTAGAAGTTTTTTTTTTTTCCAGCATGTAGTTTTTATTAAGGTATTCAAGTAGTACAAGTAGTACAAACATAGTCTCGAAATAGCACTCGAAAGCAAGTATACAAAA